ATGATCGCTAATGGCACGCGTCCAATTGCTTGACTCGCAGCCGCCGACTCAATGTGTTTGGTTCTCGGTATAACTGAGGTGGTCTCAACACTTTCATTGCGACCGACACTTTGGCTCCTTCACACGTGAGACCGCGCGTGTTTTACGTTCCGCGGCCGCGCGGGACTTCGGTGAAATTTTTGGTGATCTTATCTAGCAAATTCAAAAGAAGAACCCACTGTATAATGCAGAAGAAATCATATCGGATAAAATGGAAAAGAAAATGAATGAAAACCCTAATAATTTTCCATGAGAGCTACCAGTCGTCAATCCGGCCGAAGGCTCAGCTCACTATATGGCTGCATGCTTCAAATTGTTAAATGACAAGGGTCGGCACAGTATTGTATTTTTCGAACCTCGCAGTGCGCTTTTAGAAATTTTCTTCCAGGCAGAGAACTCTGTCATGAGCCTCCATTTGGACAAGCCGCACTGCACACGGAGTTCACGCTCCGAAAACCAATGGCCGTAGACGCTGCCGATTGAACCAATGTCGTTGTGTGCGTGTCAAGTCTCATTCAGTAATGCCATCAATAAAACCGGACACGTTACCGATTCGCTCGTCACCATCTTTGGTCTTCTTGTACGCTTCATCCCACTGCAATAATCGGTTATCAATTCACGAACAGGACCTCCAGTATATCTTTCGTTCGAAGACAACGTTATGCATTGCTAGTTGTTCTTCTTGAAGTCACATTCCGTGAGAACCGAAAAGTTTCTGCATGCAGAAAGCGTAAACAAGCTGAGGACATATGTATTACTATCAGAAAATTGTTATTGTTTCCCTAATTAGTTTTTGATATCACAGTAGTGATTTCATTATTTAGATGAGCAGTCCACAAGGAGTTACATATGTAGCTATGATAAATTATTGGAAGTGCAACTCCCTTTCGAATGACGTCATCGTTTGTACCGATATCTGCACGCCTTATCCCTTAGGTTGGGTAAAAATCGTATTATTATTATAATTACAATTTATAGTTTCTCTTCCAAACATGTGGAAGCACGTGCAATGATGATATTTCTCAAGAAATAGCTGACCTTCGATTAGAAACTGCCAAGCGAAGAATTAAGTGAGCGTCCGTGGAAAACTGAAAGTGATTCTGTAGACATTAGTTTGTTGTCCTCGGTGCGAGGCCTACCAATCTACAACCCTTCCCCGCTTTTATGATACAATATATTTTAGATGGGTTTTTGAAAGTTCAAAATTCCATTAAATAGAGGAAGTAAAAGAAGAGATTTTTTCTGATCGTAGAACTTTTTTTTCTTATACATGTATGGAGTGCCACCGAATAGTTCAGACGGTCCATTCGAAACTTTTTCAATTTTTTCATGCTCCGTAAATAAAAAAATGTGTGAATAAAAAGGATAAAGCATTTGCCGTTGATCAATCCCTTTTTGGGATGCGGCACGCATTCTACTTCCATTTGTACATTCGTAGTGGCGTTTGAATGCGATGTGGCCTATACAATGACTTGCGGGGGCCAGCCGATGTACAAGTCAGTGTTTTTATCCTCCCAGACAAGTCTGGTACCAATTAACCGACCCCGGAGGGATGGAAGGCTTGGTTGGCCCGGGCGACTCACGACCCAGGATTTGATCCCGGACCGCTCGCGTGGTAAGCGCGCCACTTTGCACTACTTCCGCCCGAAAGATAACAAATAATAATAAATGATAATGAATGATAATATTAGTAAATAATATTATATATCTTGTTTGTAACAAAACCTACGCGAAGGATAAAATGGTTAGTTTTTTTCTAGTACTGGGTATAAATATTAAATGGTAATGAACTGATAAGACAGTAAATAATTTCTGTAACATTACTTAAATAGTATAGACAGAAATAAAGGCAGGAAAGCTGACAAAGACCGATCTAAACGAGATTTTTGCATTTCCATACAGGCACAGGTGGCCGTAATAACTTCGTCCCGAATTGGTCCAAAACTATTCAGAATTGTATGGGTTTTGTTTGTTTCAGTCTCTTCAGCGAAAAGCATGGGACAATTTCACATCGTGGTGGTGAGCATACATTGATATAATCTGATGTTATTTTCTGAGTAAGCATCGGCTTTTTTCGTCTTGTACCCTCGGCATATGTAGTTACTTGTAAAATGTGCTATTTATTTTCGTGCCTTCGTAATAGGTTGACCATTAATTGAAACGGTCTGAGGTTCTCCGACTGAGGCGTCATCTGCGAGACCTCAACGGGTTCCTGGTTCGAATTTTCCTACCATACGCCCTATCTCCTCTGACGTCCTTTCAGGAATTCCGTCAGAGAAACACAAGCAAGTCGAGAAATTAAACTTACCTCGGTACTTACCTTTGTACGAAGCAATCCAGTACCACAATTTAGCGCTATCTAGTGATAAATAGCAATTAAAAAGATTATTTCTCACGCTCAGAACTCCATTTCTGGGCAGACGCGGCTATGCGTAACTAAAGCCTAACTTAACTGTTTTCACACTGTTCTCACACTAAGGAAACGTTGTTTACCTGGAAAGATTTTCGATAATTCTACTGCCAATATACCTTCTATATAATATCAAACAGACGAGTTATCTATCAAGAGACGAAAGCGAAAAAGATGTTAAAAATTCGGAATAAAATCTAATTTAAAAATCCAGACTACCCCCTCCCCTGCAGGATACGCTCCGCATCCACAATTCCGTAGAAGGATTTCTTCTGGGTAGTTGAAGGAAGAGAGGAGCAGCAAATACTTCAAAGAAGAAATGTAGAGCAGTTATTAGCACCAGAGAAACTTGAAATGGATTCGGTGCTCGCCTGTTTAACCCTTTCGGACCTGAATTTTTTTCCGTGGAGAAATTTTTCTTCTAGCTATTGTTTATTACTTGTGAGCACATAGGTATCATTATGGCGAAATTTGGAAGCTATTCGATCACAAACTAAGAAACTAGGAAGCTTTGAAAATTGGCCCACCTTCTTAGTTTTTGAGCTTATGTCGAAACAATTCCAAATTTCATAGTTATGCCGAAAAAGTTTATAATCTTGCACAACATTATAACCCATAATTTTGATTAAAAGAATGGATCTACTTCAAGTATTTTAGGAAAAAGTGACACTTACTTGGCGGTTGCGGGGACCAGCGTCGATTCATTGTTGCACTTGTACACAAATACTAACAGCAACACACAATGAAATGGCAGGTTTAGCATAATTAGGAAGGGGAAGGTTGACTGAAGCAACCTCTAGCAGGATTAGAAAGACCATGCTGTTTCAGCAGCAATGCAAGCGTTTGAATTTGGATTTCGGGTGACGCTAACGGTTTACCGAGCTCCGACGACGGAATGGCATAGTACTAAGAAGCTTTTGCTGCCTTATGAAATGGGAGAGATTGTTAACTCATCCTCACTTGATCCAAACCTTGTCCTATGTACCCAGAATTCCCAGTTCTTGCTCTTATATTTTACAAGATTTTCTTATCTTATCTAACCCATCAATTTCCGAAAAAATAGCGTAGATTTGCAATCGAGCTAACGAAGCTTTTTTCCGGTCGCCTCTGATGCGGATGAAACGCCGACGTGTCAAAGCCAGTCAGGCCTTCTGCCAATGCCAGTCTCCCATTCCTGTCCCTAGAGCTAGTTCTCTGTCGGCGATACCAGCATCCGACTGAAAGAACTTCTGAAAATAGTTCCCTGCTTGATGATATCAGTGATGAGGCGTGCTTGCTACTTTTTTCAAGCTGCAAACATTAGGGAGTTCTCCCGTGAAGCCAAAATTAAAATTTTAAATTTTTTAGACCTCTTGCTGAATATAGTGTCTGCGGGTTTATGGAGGATTGAATTTCTCCAGGAAAGCAGTTCGAGATGCCCTGTTCTTTTAATTTTATGCTTGTGCTAAGAAAATTGATACTCACCATCAGTGGGCTACATACGGGCTTTTGAGTGTGGACCAAAGCATGACTGAGATCTTGGTTTTGTCACGCTGCCTAATCAGCGGAAAGCTTTTGCTAAATGTTAACGTCTCTCAAAGTTTGCTAATTCTGAAGAGACCAAATGGGCCCTTCAGGCAGGCAGAGCAAGCCCGTTCACACTCCCACCATTATTCCAACTGAACACGTATGGACTAATATAAGAATATTCTCACACGTTCAACTGCACTATTTTCTAAAGCATGAACGAATCGTTTATTAACACTGCAACTCTTTAACTATACACATGACCTTCATCCACATTACTGTAAATATTTATTATTAGGTTGATGCATAATTATTGCGGCTTTTTTCGCGCGTTCTTTTCTCGAGAAAGATTGGCGTTTGAGTTTCTGTTTTTTTCATGAGAATATTCTTCTTTCTTCCATTAACAGAAATGCTTATCGGAAATTGTCCTCATCTTCACCACACATGCTTACTACTTCTATAAATGTTAGAAGGCGGCGGGGCCATTCCGCGATCTCATCAAACTTCTCAGCGAGGGAGCAATTAGCAAAACCCAAGACGAAGGATCGTTCAAGAAGTTTAAAACGCCACATCTACCGAGCGGAGCTCCTACAGACTAGCAATTCAATCAGACGTTGAAAAACTGGCAAACGAACAAATTTTAGGATGAGCTGGATGCGTTGGTGGCCAGTGTTAGAGCGTGGATCGTCTCCGAGAATCGTGACTTTTTTATCCGTGGAATCACCGAGAGAAAAGCAAATGGGAAGCATTCTTGTGGGATGGTGACCACGCTCCGGGGTTATTATTTAAACATGTTTTTGTTGAATAATTTTGTCGTTTTCGCTGAATAAAATCTGTTGGAAAAAGCCGCAATAATTATGCATCAACCCAATACTTCATTTTCAGCGAGGTGCACTTGGTCTATAGTGGAACCACGCGAAGTACCTTTTCATGCAGTAATGGCACACGCGCACACAGGGTGTGGGTAGAAGTATATGGTCAAAAAACATAGGATGATGAGGTAAATTGTGAAATGCTCAAGGGATTTTTAGCAGCCTGGACCGGATCACTCCTTCTTTACACGACCAATGAATGTGTCCATCGTTTGATTGGAACCAACATACTTTGTCAGCTCTACCAAAACGTCTGACGGTAGAAAACTGAAAATGCTCTGCTTCAGAGAAATCTATTATTAGTTTTCCAACAAACTATTCAACTCAATCATTTCGGAACTGTGACAATGCCCGCTGACCGACGTTTGAAGGGGGATCTTACGATGAAAAGGGACACTATTGGAAATTACTTAAAATGCGTCAGGGATGCAAGACGTAGAAAGCGAGAAAAAAGTATGGCTAGAACCGAAAAAGGGTCCCCTTGCTATGCCGTTAGATATGCGCATTGATTTTACCCGTTGAGGAAACATATTAATGTAGTTGGAAACGATATTTGCGAAATTGTTTTCTCAGTAAGTATGGCTTCCATTATGCAATCAACCACGTATTCCGGCTGCAACATTGGTAGCAATATTGGCGCCCTGAAAAGCACGATGCTTGATGCAGGAAGTTATTACGAGAAACCTTCCAAGAACAAACTTCGTTTGAACCCCGTCGACCATTCCAGTGTCGACATAGTATGGGCAAGCAACGGTCGTCTTCACGCCGTGTTTGCCAAGCGTTTCCAGCTCAGCCGTCAACGACTCGTGAAACCCTATTGCTCCGTGCTTTGATGTGCAGTAGTCGACCTATGAAAAACAAATTAAGCAAGTTGTCAGACGGGTTTAATTGAAAATAAGGCGGTCAAATCTAGCAGGACAGGGGTCAAGCATATGGTAACGTGTGTCATGTTGCAGTTGAGATCACTGGACAACCTCAATGCGGCCTTGACCACAAGGTTGTATACAATAATTAGTGTTGGCTTGACGCATGCATATAAATGGGCATTGATTTTACGCGCGCCTGATCGATAACAAAATTTTGCATTGCTTATTTTACTAGCACGTTCAAGAAGATGATGCCGCCTCAAGTGGGGAAGAAAAAATAGTGTGGATGAGATTGGTGAGTACGGGGAGGAGTCAGAAAGAGATGGCGCAAGAAGCTTTTGCCCCAGAGACGAGGCTACCTAGATGAAGGCTTCTGGGTAATCTCTCCATTCGATTAATCAGATTACGTGATGTGTTGTAACGAGACCCACAGTGATGGAGTGTTTTTAGTGTACTGACTTCGAATTCGCTTTCCAATCGATTTTCTGAGCAGAAGTGAAGCAAAATAGAGCAGCGGTAGTGGTCCGGGCTCACAGGCGAAAGGTCGCGGGATGGCAGACACGGGTGCAGGGTCAAATGTTGGTCTTTGCGATTCCAGAAATTTTGAAACCCCACTTGAATGGAGGAGGGGTCTCGATGTGACTTCCCTCTCCCATTAGCGATCTTAAGGAGGTCCGCAGTCCTCACCAAAAAAACAACCCCCTTCCCAAACACGACACACTAATTTCACAATTCGGACACTCGTTCGTACTTTCAATGAGAGGTAGCTTGACTCAAAATGATTCCTCAAAAGCCGAATACGTCACCCATACTTGTTGGGGATGCGCAAACGGTTGTCCCTGTGTGGTTGGTGACATGTGGAGGTGAATTTTGGCGACGAGGAATGCAGCTAGGAAGACCTAGATTAGAGACGGGAGGACTTTGGGAGTGAAATCAGAGGTCCTTCTTGTTGCGCTACCCGAGCTTCTCGTCACCAGATAGTGCTCAAACAGAAATTTCACAACCCACCAATCCAGCTACGCCGACCTTGCCGGCCAAGGACGCGACTGTCACTACATGACCGTGATCAGCTTCCAGCATTTCTGGAACGAAGGCCTTCGTGGTCTGAACAAAAAAGCTTGCCGTATCGGTTATTTGAACAGAGACAAATGAAGCCTTGGAATTGAAATAACTCGCTATACAATAAAGAAACGCACGCTAGAACAGAGCGGTGGAATGTGTTCACAGCCATGTCACCTTCAATAGTCTCATCTGGGCCAATCGAAGAATGTTTTACCTGAATTTTGGACGAATAAGCCTTTTAAATTAAAATTTCACTTGCGATGGTAGTTGCTGGTTGTCAGGGAGACGTTCAGCTCCAATCCACTCCACTCCTATCAGGTCACCAGAGCTGCACGAGTTTGAAGTCTGAGGTTAGGTTTGAGCTTAGGGTAAGGCTTGTTACGAGCAAATCAGAGATGTCCTGATCTGTGGAAGATACCGGTCAACCGGACCCTATATCCGATTGGACGCGGCTGAGGGTTCTCTACGACGGGGTGTCACCGCCTTGGCTGACCAAGGCGTCCAATTTTTGCCCTAGAGCGAAGATTGAATATATTGTTTAGGTGTTGAAGCAACGAGCTGTCATAATCGGGCCAAGGCATCGTTACTTCTGTCTGGAGCGGCCAGTTTGCTAACTCATGCTAGCACTTAGTAGGCTGTACAGAACATCAAAGGTTTGCCTCTAGCAGGGATATGAGAGTCAACTGTGTGGTCAACTGCTAGGCAAAACTCGTGAGGAAGGCTATCAAGAGAGGAGCCCTCTGTAATTTTGGGAGGTGCCTTCCTAATGAGTGTGAAGATTGCTTTCCAAGAAATCGCCATTAATACCAGGCGGTCTGGAATGTGCTAAAGACCAACGTCGCATATTCCGCTCGGGTGCGTTTCACTTCTCCTCCTCAGGTTAGGTCACCTAAAATTAACACTACTCATTTGCTCGAAGCAATCCTAGGGCTAAGCCTGGGCCCAATCCTAGGTTCAAGCATAAGCCTAAGTCTAAGCCTAAACCCAAGCATGGCCCTAGGCTTCATTGATCGCGCAGCTCTGGCGACTTAAAGGAATCTTCCGCGGAAAAAGCTCCGCCTCCATTACCACAGAAAAACGATACCCCTTAGGCCCCTAGCCTCATGAGCATAGCAAAAAGAACGGAACATAAGCGTTAGTTTCGATAATACTAATCCTACACACAAGACAAAATGATCACTCTTTCCGTGGAAGATTCCTTTAAGGTATCGTTTTCTGTGGTAATGAGGGCGGAGCTTTTTCCGTGGAAGGATTCCTTTAACCCAGGAGGAGAACTCAGCGTTTCCCTCCACGCGTAGACAACCTTATGCGACTACGACGTACCTGTAACGATTCCCGCATTGTTGACGAGGATGTCCACCTTGCCAACTTCAGCCTTCACTTTATCAGCCGTAGCGTAAATTTGCTCCCTCTTGCTGAGA